CCACGGGGAGGCTGGACCGAGGCTGGGACGGTAAATCCCTCGCCTGCCCTTGGTAAACGGTTCCCCTCTTCCAGCGCACGCACACGCACGTCTTCAGAGTCGTTCCTGGTGTTTCCTCCTCCCTCCAGGCCGGTGCTCGGAGGGTCGGGGGCTGCTGTTGCAGCTGGCTGCCAGCTCCTGCGCTGGGCTGGGCTGACCAGCGAGGCCTCTGCAGGTGGCAACCGCAGCTCCCAGCCGCCTGCCGTGCTTGGGGTTCGCTGCATGGACTTACACAGGCTGGTCGAGCGACTGTAGACAGACACTACTCTGATCTTCAGAAGCAAAGAATTCTAAAAGTAGCCGAGAGAGATCTCTAGCATGTAGATAAAATCCAGGAGAAGGTTCAGCACGGAAACCTGGCCTTTGCATCTTACAGCACAGCTGAAAATCAGAGGCTGGATGAGAAAAGCACACTTCAAAAGTTTAGGTGGCCAAACTCCCATCTGTTCAGCAAGCACAATACTGCTTACCCTCAGAAATCCTCCTTGCTTGCGTAGGTTGCTTACCCTCAGAAGTCCTCCCTTGCTTAGCTTAGCAGCATCTTGAACTAAAGGAATAAGTAATTCACAGCTGAGTAATAAAATTCTCCATTAAATAAGAGGAGTGAACAACAGCGTAAACCTAGAGCCTAAAGTCCAACCTGAGAGATAACACAAAGTGTATGGAACTTCGCCCTGGGAACTGCCGTGCTGATGAAAGCACCCTGGCCTTATCAGGAGAGTCAACAGCAAGCATCTATCTTCCCCTTAGGTGGAGCTGCGGGGAGGGTGCTGGCTCCTCAAGCCACATGTGCAGGAGAGTACTTTCACATCCTGGAAGGTTTAAGGAGCAGTGGGTTTTAAACCAATAGCACTAAATGCTTCAGTGGTTATTTAAAACTCTGCTTTAAGAGTAAGCTCCAGTAAGCATGACCTGACTGAGAGCAGATGTGTCAATGGCTTCTCTGAAATAATTTCAGATGTCTTCTATTACAGGCAGCGCTGAAGAAGAAACTGGTGGAGCTGCATAATCAGAGTGAGAGAGCTGTTCGGGCCATGAACACGGTGAAAACAAACCAAAGCCAAGCTGCTGTAAGTGGGTAACCACTCGAAATGCTGCCAGGTTGCTTGGCATAGGCTGGCCACTGTGTGGTGATGATGCTTGTACTCTTGTGGCAGCGGCTGTAGTACTGAGATTGCATTGGCAGGAGAAGCCGCTGCTGGGAAGGAGCAGAGAAGAGGCATTTTGGCAGAGCCAGGCAGCTCTGTGGGAGATGGGAATAAAGCAGCCACCATGCAAGGGCTTTATACGCACACATGCTGGCACTCGCGACCCGCAGCGGGGCTCAAACCCAGCCTGTCCTGGCCCACAGGAAGCGTGTGCCTGTGCAGCACAAGCTAAAGGAGCAGTGATCCGTGATGGCTGCACCAGTGCAGAAATTTGGGCTGCCTCTGCCCCAGAAATGACCACAACTAATCCTTGCCCTTAGCTGACAGTCAGGGTTGCCGTTTGTGCTGGCAGCTGCAGCGGGTGTGTCTCGCTTGTACCATCCCTTCTGAACCAAGTGGCTGAGACCAAGGAGCTGAAAATCTGCCGGGGTAGCACTTCTGTCCTCCTCAGGAACATCTCTTGGAGGATCAGGAATAACTTTGTATTAACCAGAGATGCCACATCTCGGAGGCAGAAACAGCTACAGCTGGGCAAGTGGGCGTGTGGGGTCGGAGCTCGTGGCAGCATGGGCTCTCCCGGTGCTGGGTGCTGGGAGCCACCAGGTGGCCCATCTGGCCTGGCCTCGGCTTGGCAGCCCTCCCACAACAAAGATCTGGAGACCAAGAATTGTCTGGATTCCTTGGGAGAAAATTGGTTTTTCCAAACTACACAGAAATATGTAGCTTTTCTGTTGCCTCTTTCAAGTAATTGAAAGTAATTGCCTACGTGTTGCTCAAAACCTTTCTTGTAGCAGTAGTTATTAAGCAGTACCTTGTCCACAAACTGTTCTGTTGAAACCAGTGTCTGTCTGCTCTTGTCTGCTCCAGGAGACAGCTTCCAGAAAGAAAGATTTGATCAGAAGTGAGTTTTTAGAAATTAAAGCTTTAATTGAAGAAAGAGAAAATCAGGCTTTGAAAATAATTGCAGAGGAAGAAAAAAGAGTTTGCAATAAGTTTGATTATATCTACAGTGTTGTGGGAAGTAAGAAGAATGAAGTTCAGTCTCTCAAAGATCAGATTGAGATGGCACTGGGTGAAAGTGATGACATTCTGTTTTTGAAGGTAATATGTCCTTTAAATATGAATCCAATTCTTCATGTTTCTGGAACATGGAATTACGAGTATCTGCTATGATAGTCCTGCTCTCCAGGCACTTCCAGTCACTGGTAATGCAGCTGCCTGCAAGGACCTGCTATAAAAGGTCCCGACGAGTACAAAAATATCAATGAAAGAGGATGAAATGAAGCAGAATCTGGTAACTCCCTCCCAGTTCAGCCGTTGCCTCTGCCACAAGCAGAGGGGCAAGTGGGTAAGAGAACTTGTCTCCATGAGGTGTTGCAGCTCTGTGCTGTGATGCTGTCTAGATCTTTCTCGCTGCTTCAGTTGAGAATTAATGTTTGTGGTTGCTGCTGAAATTTTGCCATTGGTTGTGTCTGACCATAGCCTTTGCTCCTTTCCATTTGAGATGAATGCACAAAACCCACCCCATTTAAAGTAAGTTGGTTGCATTTTTCACTGTCTGCCACACAAGGTGGTCTGCATGAGAGCTTCTGTTTGTCATTTCAGAGAGCAACTGCACTGCAACGAACATCAACAAAAGATGCTTTTGTTCCTGCAATTGAAATGAATGAAAACATGATACATTGCACTTACCAGTCTGCCATTAACCTTAAAGACATTGTGAAACATTCAGTGTCTCAGTATAAGGAGAAAAGAGTGGAAGGTATACTTTTTCTGCCTTGACCTTGAAGTTCAAGTGAGGGCTTTTCTCCCTCCAATTGAAATATCATTTAAAAAAAAGTGCAGCAAAGACAGTTGATTAATCTAAATTGTGTATTCCAACTTTTGCAGACCTCCATTTCCATAAAAAAATACTACAGCCTGGGCTAAACTAAGAGGAAAAAGTGTGCCACTTTTATCTATACATGGATAAGCTGATGAGTATCTTGATACTGTGGTACTACAGCATACTTCTGTATAGTATATGATACTTCTGGGACAGCTCAACCTTCATTCCTTACAATAATGTATGGTTGTCTTATGTAGCAGGGTTGGATGTAGTTAGGATGTGGATTTGAGGGGAAACACTTTACAGTGACAGGACTATGGCTACCCAGCTGTAAAGGTGCTGACTGTGTGTTGCAGAACAAAGCCCTACTTCCTGGGTTAAGCAGAAGTACCTTTTGGACTGGGGTAGAGGTATCTGCTGTGCAGCTTCCATCTCTGCCACGTATCGCTCAAGTTCTGGTCACATAACTGAAAAATAAGAAGGAAAAATGTCCATGCTAGTGCATTACTGGTCCTGGCAATACAAACCATAATGCAAAATCTTGCCATTGCAGGAAGACTACCACCTGGGAATACTAAGGCTCCTCCAATGGCTCCTCCAAACAAAAACTTTGCTGGAAAAAAGCCTCCGGGACGACGTAAGTACTGAGGGACATAATCCCCTCCTGACTACGGCCACATCATTAGACAAGAATTCAAGCAGTTACCCGAGAGCTGTTTGCTCTCACAGTGATGCAGGAATTACCTGTGCGTGCACTTGGCCTGGGAAAGGGGGTGTGTTTTGGGCTGTTCAGTGCTGGATGCCTCGTGAGCTGTAAAGCAGCAAACTGCACAGATCTGATGGTCGGTGGCCTCGGCGTGCACCTGTAGCGGTGTCAGGGCAGGCTGGAAAGCAAAGCAGAGCAGAGCCTCCCACCCTCTGGTTCTTGTAGGGTTTTTGATTTGTACTAAACATCTGTTGGGTGGGTTTATGGGTGTATATATATGTTGAATCCTGCTTATGAGCTATTCACTTCCTGTCCTTTCTCCTTTCCCCCCTCGCAAGAGCACGCCTACAAAGAGAAGACCCTTCAGCAGACTCAGGCCACTTTGCACGTGGAGGCAGACACCAGTAAGTGGTGATTAATAGCAGCCTTACTCAAACATTCTGCTGGCCAGGGTGATGGAGACAGTCTGTGGCAGGTTATCCTGGGGCCTTTCAGTCTTGTTTTGTCCAGATACTGGTATTAATGTGACATTCTAGCCTGTTTGGAAGCTCTTCCATGTTGTCTTTTTGAAATTCATCCAAGTAGAAAGAAACTACTTCTGTTACTTCCACCGAGCTTTTGACATGTGGTTCTCTCCATTCCAAGTCCTGGGTGTGCAGCACTCATCAGGGGCTGTTGAGGGTGCTGGAGTTGAATGGACTTTAGCTTCTTTTGTGGCACTAGAAGTTCTGTTGTAAAAAGAAAGGGAATACTCTGTGTGCCTCGTGGGACCAGGCTCCTCACCACTCGCCCTAACACAGCATCCTGGAGTAGAGATGCAGATCCTTCCAGGCCTATGGCCCTGTGAAACAGGAAGGAAACAGTAGGTTGTGCTTCGTGTGTAGCTTTCCAGTACGGGTGTGTTTGTCAAGGCTTCAGCATGCCAGGCTGTCAGCTTTATCTCTGTCTGATCCTGCAGCTTCAGGAGAGCTGTGATGACAACATTACAGTGGGCACAGTCTATCAGTGGCTTTTCAGTCTCAATAAAACTCACCGTTCACTTTTTTTTTTTTTCCCCCCTCCAGAGGAGAAAAAGAAACCCACTAAAGCTGGTAAGTCCAAACTTTCAGCATATTTAATTCTAATTTTCATTGATTTATTTTCAAATTATAAGTAGATGGTCATTGGTGTTGGTGTATTAAGCAAAAGTTCAACTCTTGCTCTGAGGAGGCTCTTGCTTAGTCACTGTGAGAGTGATCAAGTGCTGGAAGAGGTTGCCCAGACACAAGAGGGCATTTTCAAAACCTGGCAAGACAGTGAAGAACCTGAGCTACTATTGAAGTTAACACTGTGTGGAGCAGGAGGTCAAAACATAACCTCTAGAGGTCCATCCAGCCTGACTGTGTCTGGGATGGTGTGTTAAGAATGCAGGGATTCTTTCCAACAGGCCAAACTCTCTTTTCTTCTGTTGACACAGCACCAACCACAGGGACGCCAACTGCTGCAGCTGCTGTTTCAAGTAAAGAGCTTCTTGAGAGCTTTCTGAAGAAATCCAGAGAGGAGCTTTTGCAGTGTAAGACACCCAACGTTGCACTACTAAAGATGAACTTTGTGCACTTACTGCACTGGTGTTATGTGCTCTCTGTAGTTAGCTGACAAAAATACTTTTGAGGAGGTTTACTTAGCCTAGTAGGTTATCAACTGGTTGTTATAAATTAAGGAAATGTTTAGAGGAAAAGGAGGCAGGAGGTTTCCAAGTGGTCGTTTTGCCAGATGAATCAAATTGACCTTAAGGTATTCCTGTATCTTTACGAAGGCAAATAAGTTCTCAGTAATGGCTTTAGGTAGCCTAGAAATGTGATGTAACACACTGGCTTCTTCTTTGAAATGAAAGGCAGGCTTCCATGCAAGCCCACCATGCCCTGCCTAAGATGCTATAGCAGATGGTGTACAATACAGGATGTCTTTCCTTGCCAGGTCAGCAATCCCATTCTCCTGTCAGCATATACTGGGTGGTGAAGGAAGGAACAAACTTGCCCTCTATTTGCCTGCTGTTTAACAGAGAGCAGTAGTTGAACCCGGCAGCTATTACAGTGGCCCTAAAAAATGCCACACTGTGGAGGAGAGCAGAGCAGGGAGATAACCATGCACAGGAACAAGCGCCTAGGCAGGACAATATGAATAAAAGAGCTTTGCTCTTCAGTACCTTCAAATGATTCATGTCATTGCAGATGCTGCTAACATCACGCTGGATTACAACACGGCTCATAACAAAGTGATTCTGTCTGAGGGGTATACCAGGATGTCTGTCTCAGACACCCCCCTGAATTATAACCAGCACCCGCAGCGCTTCACCAATTGTTCCCAAGTGCTGGGGTTCCAGTGCTTCAAGAGAGGCATCCACTACTGGGAAGTGGAAATGCAGCAGAACACCTTCTGTGGCATCGGGATCTGCTACGGCAGCATGGAGCGGCAGGGGCCCGAGAGCCGCCTGGGCAGGAACAGCAGGTCCTGGTGCATCGAGTGGTTTAATTCCAAAATATCATCCTGGCACAACGACGTGGAAAAGTGCTTACCCAATGTGAAGGCTACCAAGATTGGTGTGCTGCTCCACTGCGAGGGAGGGTTTGTGATTTTCCTGGCTGTTGGGGAGAAGCATAACTTGATCTATAAATTCAAGGCCCAGTTTACTGAAGCCTTGTACCCTGCCTTCTGGTTATTTTCCAGTGGCACTGTTCTCTCTCTCTGCCAAATGTAAGCACTAGTTAATCTTAATTTAGTTCACCTAAGTACTTACATGCAGATAATCAGTCCTGCAGCAACCCTTTGTATGTCTTAGTCTAAGAAGGCTGGAAAATTATTTGTTTGAGACAAAAATTATTAGCTCTTTTAAGCAGTTTTTGAAATTAATGATTCTTTGGTATGAATTGCTAAAGCCTCTAGATGGTCGTTTAGTATAACAATGATTGATAGAAAAAAAACTATGATTAAAAGTTTTGCAAAGATTTTGATTATCCTAAAAGAACAGTTACGCTACAAATCTTTTACAACTGCTACGAGTTATGATACTGCTTTTTACAAGGGCTTGCGGTGATTGGACGAGTGGTAATGGCTTTAAACTGGAAGAGGGTAGATTTAGATTAGAAGTTAGGAAGAAGTTTTTCACTATGAGGGTGGTGAGTCACTGGAACAGGTTGCCCAGGGAGGCTGTAGATGCCCCAACACTGAATATGTTCAGGACTAGGCTGGATGAGGCTTTGAGCAACCTGGTCTAGTGGAAGGTGGTGTCCCTGTGCAAGGCAGGAGGGTTGGAACCAGGTATCTTTAAGGTCCCTTCCAACTCAAACCATTTTATGATTCCATGAACTATTGTTAAATGTCTTCAGTAGGTGCTGTGGCCTCTGTGGTTTGCTGTAAAGGATCCCTAGAGTTATTTTTCCAGTCTAAATGTGATTCACAGGTAGCAGTAACCCCTTTGAGAAAGAAACAGGCTTTGAGGTATGTCCCATTGTTGCCTTTTTCTCTACATGCAGACTGTTAGTCCATTCACAGTACATGTGTTCTAAGTGTATGACTGCATGAGATGGTACAGAATGAACTACTAAAATCATTACGTTCAGGTCTCATCATGCTAAGTTATAAAAGCCAATATGACAAATCTCATCAGAGTAGAAATGCAGAAACTTTTAGAGTTGATGGATAAGAAATGGTGTGAGAATCACCAAAAAATAAATGACATCAACTCGAGACTGTGAATACGCCAGCAAGGCTTCAGGAGACATCCTGCAGAGCAGTAGTGCACGCCCTGCAGTAATACAGGTTGTGGGATGAAGCATTCTGTCTCATGTTCTGACCCAGAATAAGCTTCACATCTTCCCACTGAAGGCTCTTCAGTGGCTTTTCTTCTGTGCTGAGGAGTTCAGGGAGTGCATTTTTTAGCTTGCACAGGGAGCATAAATGTGCTGTTCACTTAAAGCAGGTTCTCCTGTCCCAAAGGTTTTCCTCTTCATGAGGTGGGATATCCTCTGCTGGTGTATCTTTAGTTGTTCAGGTAGTAGAAACTGGATTGCATACATGTTATTTGGACTCTGATTTGAGGAGTCTCAAGACAGTGTGCACAGTACCTAGAAAGTTCTGCTGCTACTCTGCATGAAGGCTGTGGGCAGACAGGAGAGTCTTCTGGAACATACAGGGTCTTAGCACAAAGGAGAATATACATCTATTCCCACTGGGATGGATTTTCAATTCTCCTGGTGTTCTTTGCTTTGGCTTGTGGTAAGTCTTCAGAAGTCCTCGCCGTGTACAGAGGAATCTGTCCATCTCCATTTCCACTTGCAACTTTAAAACAATCAGTAGGCAATCAAGGTATTTGGATTTCATAGTTATTGGGGCTATATCTTCTTGGTAGTACTACTTCTTGTAGTAGCTCATGAAGAACAGGGAGGGTCACACAGGAGATTTCCTGGACTTTGATTGGTAAAACTCCCTCTTATGGGACCTGGTGAAATAAGACACAGAGTTGCTGCTGGCAGTTTAGAAGGGAATTTTTAGAATGCTCAGAACCTCTGTGACTACATTCACATTAGCCAAAGTACTTGAGAGAGAGACTGGCAAGAATTAAGCCTTGGTGCCTCTATTTTTGCTGGGTTTGTAAACTCTTAGTACTTTGTCAAGGGTAGCACAAGTGTGATAAGATGCTTCCATTTCTTTGGCCAGAACAGGATATGGAATTGATGGTAGACCTAAAAGTGCCATGGCTGCCTTTAGAGTAGCTGTAGTACCTCGAGGGTCTCAGCTTTCTGAAGCTCAGTCAGCACTAAAACTACCAGAACATTTCAAAAGATGCTGAAGGAGGATGTGTGCTGCTAGGAGCCAACAATGAATACAAACCTCTTCCTGCACTTCCAGTTTTGCAGCAGAGAGAGACAAGAAGTGTTTCCTCTGAGAAGTCCTGTCCCTTTAGCTGCTTGGCTGCACCACAGGGCTGCAGATCCACTCAGCAGGGTGCTGAAGGAGTACTCTGGCCCTTTGTTCACGGGGAAAAAAGGTGCTCCAGTGGTCTGTGCAGTGGAGAAAGTCCACATTTTCTATTGCTTGCTTCTTGACTTTGAAGGAGTGTTAGTAGTAACCTCCAAGTCTATGGGTTTCTTTAGCCATAATCTGGAGTGCTACTCAAGCAAAGTAAAGAGCAGGTCTTATCCCACCATGGTGGACAAGGTTGGGTTCCTTAAATGTGTCCCTGCTGGAATGACCAACAGTATATAACACATTAGGTGTTCTGGTTTACCACAGGCAGTGAAACAAGCCTGCCCTGTATTCCTGACTCTGTGTGTTTTCTGTTGTGCTGTGGAAGACTAGAAATGATAGAATGAGATTCTGTTACTCTGGAATGAAATGAGAAATTAATAACCAAATTGCTGCACTTTTGAAAACTGTTGTTTTGGTTAGCTTCAGATATCTTGGATATACTGAAACATGGGGGTGATAAAGCCATGAGGATGTGGGATGGTTTGCATATTAATGTACAAGTGAGATTAAATGGAGAAACACTTGCCCACTGAAAACATATTAATCTCTTTAAATGTAATCCTTGCTTCAATCAAAAGCATCAGTAAAATACTGCAGTTAGAAAAACAAATGCTTATGTAATTATAAAGCTGTTGACTGTACTGCTGTATCAGCCTTTTAACTGTCTGTTATTTCATGTAGTCTGTCAGCTAGCCATCCCTGGCAGGGCAACAGCCATAGATTTTATGCCATCTCCTTTATGACTGTGCCTCTAACTGCTTTAGAAGTTAACTCTTCTTGATCTTTTCTGCTGTAAAGTGAAAAAATTTTGATAGTTTGAATTCAATAAATAGTCATGGTAAACCCTAATGTTGAGTGTTCTGTTCTGTGCCCGAAGTTGAAACAAGCAGGCAGAAATAAAGGTGCTACAGTGTACAAAACTTCTACTGCACAACTCCCTGAGTTACGCAAGAACTGGGGAAGAGGAAAGGAGGAGAACTGCAGAGGCTGCTGTACCCCCTGGACTGTCAAATGCCATCCTAAACTCTGTCTTTTTATCCTTCAGCAGTAGTGCTGTGTCCTAGCTGAGGATGAGGGGAACACCCTGTCCAGTAAATGAAACTGGAGACCTTTTCAGGTAAGCAAAAACGTGGTCATCAGCTGGAGGAAGGTGAATGACCAAGGACTGAAGTTTGTGCAGTGGACTTTATTAAAAAATCTTTGGGTGTTGTCCAGTATCTGCCAGCTTAAATTACATCTGGAAGCAGCAGTGGGTGGTGATTCCTAGTATTACTCAGTAAAATCAAACTAAAGGGCTTGTGGTTTGCAAGCTGCTGCCTGCTCGCATGGTCAGTAGAAAGCAGCTCAAGAAGGAGCTGTTCTGGGGGCTCAACAGAATTTTAAAAATTAGCCAAAACAAAAGCACCCAGAAAACAAGTTAAAAATGGACTTTTACACTTAAGGTTCTCCAAAGGAGTTAGGCTGATAAAGGTTTTGGGGAATAAACTCTCTGAAGAGTTCCCAGAGTCAGACAACAGTAGTGCTTGATCAGCGTGGCAGGTGCTACAAAAACTAGGAAAAAAACCCTCATCTTCAGTAAGGCCTTGTCCTATGATGTCCCTGGGATTAAGAGGTCAATTAGGTCTGCCAGAGTTTAGCCTAAGTTTCTGAAGAAAGACAAATACATATTTTAAGCCTGCGTAAACTTGCCTGTAGCCTGAGTCTTGAGCAGGTACTGGAAGCCCCAAGAAGTCACCATGCTTTTTACTCATACAAGGTCTGTTTTCTTACTTGCTAATGTAACTTCCTCTTGATTCAGCTTTGTGATCACTTTTTCCTGCAAAAGGAACGACAGACTTGGACTCCAAATCATAGTCTCTGGGAACATATGTGAAAATATTCATCAGGATGTTTCCTAATGTTTGTTTCTCTTCCTAAAATAAAATTGCATTTAGCTAACATTTAACAGACTGTTTCTGTACACAGTTCTCTGACCTCCTCCAATCTCTTCCCCCCTTCCCAATTCCCTCCCAGATGAGTGGCTGCTACTTCTCAAATAATCAATATGTCAGTTAAAAACACGTCATGGTGAGGTCATTGTATGTCTCCTATTCAAAGTCCATGTCATTTAGACTTTCATTGGCAGCTATTTTGTTCCAATAAAAAGTTCAAGACAGCAATTTGTGAATCCTGCTCAGCCAAGTAGAACTGTGAAAAAAAGGAGTTATTTCAAAAGTCAATTAACTGTGGTCTGTCAGAGTGCTCCTCATTCAGGATTTTTCCAGGCTGTGTCAGGCACTTGCATCTGTCAGCCCTGTGTTTCCCAGGCTGCTATCAGATGCTGTTACACTGAAAATAATGGGTTTATTCACACCATTTATTGGATTTTGTGTGGTAGACACATTTGTATATAATTTTACGGTGTAACAATTCCATTTACATAAAATATAGGCAATTATTTGAGTTCAGCCAAAGCACGAAGGGAGGGTGGGAGGAGCCACCATTAAACTAATGAAAGCTAATTGAAAAGAGGCAGATAATTTAAGTAAAAATACCATAATGAACAATGCTTGATCCTAGATTAGTTCAACAGAACTTTAAGGAGGCAAGTTACTTGTACTTTGTCTGTGTTTGTGAAAAACACTAAGGAATTCAATAACTTAAGAAAAGAATTTGTACTTTTTAAAGCACCTACGTTCCACTTGAAAAATCAAGCAGTTCTTGGTGGAGGAAGAAAGGGGGTTTTTGCTT